GGTAAATATACTTATAAATATAAATATTACCTTTAATTACAAATTAATAAATACTTTACATAAGTTAACAAAAACACCTGAAGTGGTGGTTTTGAATGAAGGCGTGACATTTAGTTTTTCGTCATTAGTTTTACAATATCTTAGATCTTATATCTATAAAATAAATAACAATAATACATATTATAAATGATTAAGGCTTTATTTTTATTTTTTATAATACAATGTCTTTTTTAAAGGGGAAGGGGGGGGGGGGGTCTTAGAGATTAATGATAATGATAGTCTTTCTTTTAAAATAAAATAAAAAATGATTTATTATTTTTAAAAAAAATTTGATTGAATGGACATTTGCTTATAATTTTATTAATAAGAATGTATATATCTTACTTATCATATCATCTACATCTATTTACATAAATATAATGATTATCCATAATCATATATTTTATGTGTATAGGGGCGTCATTTTATTCTTCTTCAGTTTGATGGGGCTCAAATTCTATAATTAAACTAATATTTGTTTTAACTTTTAGCTAGGCTTATCAAAATTTTGACGTGACTCGAACCCTAAATAATAACTTCTAGATGATGTCATTCTGCATAATAAATATTCCTGTGCTAAACCGAATGGTTTTCTCTTAATTGCCATTCTCATTTCTTCAGAATTAATTAGATTATAATCATAAAAATTACTACAAAGAACATACTGTATAGACAGGCACAGGGTTTCCAAGTTAAAAGCTGGAAATCCCGAGTCCCGTAAAGACCCATTCTTTAGCTGAGTGATCAGATGTAGGTTATGTGACTCCTCCTTTTCTTTTATTCCCATAGTTGTTACTTTTTATACTATAAAAATTAGTATCGTTTAATTATTTTAGTTAATTTTTTATATTTTTCGGAATTAATTTTATTCATATAGTTTTATTTTGTATTTTTTTGTAGTAAACTAGCATTATTAATTATAGAAAATTAAATTTCTCTAATTTTTTTGTTACATAAGGAAATTATTTAGCGAGACCAAATTTTTTAAAATTATCTTTATTTCTAAATAAAAAAATATATTTATTTTATCTCAAAGTAAAATAAACTATCTTTATTTCAAAATTAAAAGATTTTTACAAAAAATACATATAATTTTATAACAATGAAATGCCCAATAAAAATATATAATTTAAAAAATATATAGAAAATTCTAATATTAAATAGTTTATATTTATAAAAATTAATTATATTTCATTTTAAATTAAAATATTCGAATTAAAAATTTGTCATTTTTGAAAAATTTATAAAAATGGTGGCACATTTTTCAATTTTGTTTCACCATTAGTTCGGCCTCTAAAGTTGAGAGCAAACCTATTTCTCTCCTTTCTAGTTAGCTTGACATTCATTGTTATTAAGCAAAAATTCAACCCACTTCTCCTCTACTTTAAGTAGGAAACCGGAGTGAACAATTGTTATACCGGATCAACCATATAAACCCTGCACCTTTATACCAAATCGCTAAAAGAAACTAATCGAGCTTACATATTTTTTTGCGTTTTAAACTCATGTATTCTAATTTAAGTACATATATTTGATAAGTAGCATTTATCTGTAGAGTTTTTATTATTTTTATAAAGGTAATTTTTAAATTTCGATAGATTTTATATATTTTAAAATATTTTGATTTTAAATAAATCGTAAATATTTATTATATTTTGTAACATGCGTGAATAAGCGTGAAAAAAAATCGCATTCTTGCGCAAAATACATTAAATTTCGTAAATTCACGCAATAATTGCTTATATATAATATAGTACCATGCAGTTGCGTATCCAGAATTTTCCTATAGAGGGGAAATTTTTTTGGGGGCCTTCGCTCCCCAAACTTTCCTTAGCTGGCCTTCGATCAGGTCATATATTTGAGCTATTCTTTTAAATTATTCATAATTAAATAATAATTATATTAATATTTTTAACTTTTATTTACTAATTCACGCTTATGAATATTTAAAGAAATAAAGGTTATAACCCAATTTTTTACTGTTTTAAGTTAGGTATATTATATTAAATATAAAATTGAAATAAAGTTTGTGTCATTTTTTTTTATAAAATTGACTTTAAAAACTAGCCTCAGCTTAAATTTTCATACAATATAAATAGAATAAATTTTTTATTGAAAATACTTTGTAGTGTGTATAGAATATTGACTAGAAAATTTTTTAAAAAACAAGTTTTTATAACTTATTATCAAATTTATACAAAAAAATTTAAATACTATAATTATAATGCAATTTTTAATTTTCGTGGGAAATTTGCCAATTCATCAAGAATTTAGTTTGTCGTTGGAACCAAATCTCTGTGGATATTTAACAGAGCTAACCCATTTAGTCGAGATTCAGAAGTAGTATTTCGCAAATAAGTTTTCAACCTTCTCAAGTTGGAAAAGGTCCTTTCATTTTTACATGTTGCAATAGGAAATATGCAAGAATATAAAACAACTTCAAAATATTTGGAAATTGAGCCAAGGTTTCCTTACACCGATTGAGCGTATCAATAGCATGTTTAGGTAAAATAACCAAACGTAGTAAATATTTATACCACAATTCGAATTCATTGATTAAATTGATTTTAGTATCAATATCAAGGAAATAAAATTTTGCTAAATATTTTACCAATAGTGGCATCAGAAAACGAAGAAGGGTCTTTAGGTAATAAAATTTGAAGATTGCTAATGACTTGTTTTCTTTTATCTAACCATCGTATTATAATTCGCAATAAAAAAGTATCTAAGAAGGGGATGAGAATGGATATTTTATAATATTCTTCAGTTGGTCGACATTTATATTACATCAATTGTCTAGTTGCTAGATGAGGTTTAGTGTTATATCATAAGATTTAGCTTTCGATTCAAAATACAAAAATTACACAATATTTTATAAATAGGGGAAGGAGAGGTACATTTTTTCCCAACTGTGCATAAATATAATATAAATTAATTTTTATTATGGAAAGAAAAAAAACAATTTCGTTTTTGCATAGCAAAACTTTACTGATTAAGCATTCCCAAGATGTCCGAATTTCATTTTTTTAATGCTACATATATGGCATCGTTTTCTCAATATTTTCACATGAGATTCTGTATAATTGGCAATAATTTTTATAGAACAAATACCCTGCGGATATTGTTTGCGACATACTTGTTATATTAGACGGAGTAGGTATAAAGTTATCATGCAAAGATGATGGTACCTCCAATTAATAATTATTCGAGGTAAAAGATTTTCAACTATTTTGAATCGACATTTTTACCATTTAGGATTTTTAAAATAATCACCAGAGCCGTATTCAGAAAAAAAACTTGGCGGGGTATAGGTTTAATAATAGCTTCCTAGCTTAATTCTATAAGGATTTCCTCAATTTCTTGAGAGTCTATAAAAAGCATATATTAGAATCTCGCTGCAATCTTCAGATTAGAAAAAATTATAAAATTTTACTAATATAAAAATGATATTAAATAAGCATTATTGCACAGCGGGATATAAAATGACCAGATAAATTATTTTATAAATGTCAAAGATATAAATGAATCTTTAAAAACATTGATATTTTTAATAAATATTTAAATAATTTATACAATTTTATATTTATCAAATATACCAGAATTTTGCTAAAATCGGTATGAAATTTTTATAAAATATATTTCGCATAAAATAAAAAGGCGGGATTTATAATGCGAAACATTTTAGGCAAGAAAATATTTAAATATATAAATAATACTATTGTGGGATATATTTATACGATCTGTGTATCAATTAAAAACGGAATAAATATGTCCCGATGTGTATTAGATTCTTTTTAGTTGGGACAAATTACAACTTGCTGTGTAATAAAGGGACTTGATTAATAGTGAATTTTATTTTTGTAACTATTATATTAACTATATGTAATAAACTATACATTTAAAACCAGGCCAAAATATGCCTCAGCCGATTCATTTTTGAATTTATTTTTAAAAATAAGAAGATATTTTTCATGATTTTGATTTAGAAAATATTATTTTTTAGTGGATGATAAGAATTTAGAATTCTGTCCTTGTTGGATTATATTTCGCCATTAATAGGTATATGGTAGAATAACTCAGATTATTCCAAGTCATGCCATTTCACAGAACTCTCTTAATTCAAGAGCCATTATTGGTTGAACTGAATTCGTCGAAACGTTTCATTGCTATTATTCCGAAAGATAATATATGCAATGTGTAGGATTTTTACATGATTCATTTGTTTACTGATAATTTTTTTTTAAAATTTAATTAAAATAATAGATTAAACAAAATTTAAAAAAATTATTTATCGTTTAATATAGAATGCCAAAAATTTTAAAATGCACTAGTTCTGTCCGTGTTGAGGAAAAAATTGTTCAAAATCTTCGGCTGAAGATGGGAGACTTAATAACTCTAGTCAACCCTAATGTTTAAAAAAACAATCTATTTTGGCTTAGCCCTTGTTTTTATTTTTAGGCCAAACCCGGCCCGAGTTTTTGATTTTTAAAATTTGGACATTTTAAATAATTATGGCTGGATTTAGTTAAGTTTTCGAAGGGAAATCACATGTGATGTTTAAAATAATTAATTGATATAATTAAAAAAATTTAAGAAATTAGATCCATGGAGTTTATACCTGACCCGATTTATTATAATTTTATCATTTTGCAACAGGTTTCTGATAAATATTTAAAATTTTACAATTTATAAAAAAATTTACGTAAATATTTATTTTATTTTTATTATAAAATTATAACAAATAATATAGAAAGCAAAAGATTTTTTTTTTTAAACAGACGATAAAAAAATATAAAAGGTGAAAATAGTTTGGCTAATTTTATTTTATTTTTTTTATTACAATAAAAAATAAATTTATATATATTTTTTTTATTATAATAAAGTAAAGTGTTAAATTTCGAATTGCGATAAAATTTGGAAAATAAACATTGTATTAAAAAATATTTTTTGGGTTAAAAAAAGTATTTTTATTTAATTTTAAAAAATCTTTGAATTATTCAATAATTAAAGATTAAAATAGGTGTGAATATTCGATATGCAACAAATTCATTCATATTAGTTTACCATATTAGCATAGAAAAAGCGGCACTTCATCATAAAAGTAAGAATGATATAATATTTTAATCACTTAATGCTAAGATTTACTTAAAGTTTAAAAATTATATATATATTTACCAATACAAATATTTTTTTTTAACTCTTATTATATTAGTTACATTTAGGATAATGTAATTTATTTATGATGTAAAGCAGAGATATGAAAAGTCTGACCCTGTCCTTCCAAAAGTTCGGCCGCAGGTCGAGCAAGAATTATAACAGGCCGGGTCAGGCGAAAATTTTTACCACCGGGTAATTCGTACGTAAATATTTTCGGGCCGGGCATACCTTAACTTTTTTAAAGACCGGTTACATTGTGTGAACATTCTAAAGAAACAGATCTAGATTTGTAATGCATGGATCTATTTTTCTAAAGATACCCACAGCTACAATATATTATATAATAATAAAAATTACATGGTATATTGATATTTTAAATTTTTGACGAAATTTATACTCACCATTTAGATTTTTTTTTACCATTTTAAGCAATTTGTTATTTTACACACGTTTTTTAAAGGCTTTGATTCATTAATTATTGATATCCTTTACCATTTATGCAGTGTAAAATTGGATTATTAGAAATAATCAATTTAGAGGAAACTATATAAACAAACATCCGGAATTTTTATTAATATATGCTTTGGTAGTTGGTACTAACGAGTTTTTTAAAAACTTATTGTCGAATTAATTACACTTATCTTGTACAAAAAAACCTTTTATACTATATTTTTACGTTTAATTTTCGACTTTTTTTATTTACCAGACTTAATTGATTTCAATTCAATTGTATATATCATAGGCATAGACAGAGTAGAAAAAGGGGGAGGGGGGGCTTTCCCACTTTTAGAAATTTGACTGTTTTCGCAAATATAATTTTAAGCTAATAAAATTTTCCCCTCTACATTGCACTCCCCTTCTCTCCCCCAAATATATAGAGTCACTATTATAAACAATAATTTTTATAAAAAATGTAAGTTAATAATTTTTTAAATAGTAACTAAAATTCCAAATTTTAAGTAAAGAGTATTTTAAAATAGTGACTAGAATTCAAAATTTTAATTAATAATATATAAAGAATTAACTTTTAATTGTTAGCGTTTTGTTTATAATTTATTAAATTCATCTCATTCGAATTTTATTAATAATCTCTCTTTAAAATATTATGAATAACTCATTATTAAGCCTTCACATACCTTACTTAGCCTCGTATGTTTTTTTATATTTTAAAATAGTCTTTAGATATGCTATTTCCGCATTTAATAAATATAATAATCATCTTAATTTATATTTTAATCTTTGTGAACCTAGAATTAGAGGTGGGCGCGGGCCTGATTTTTTATTCACGGCCCACCCGCTCAGGCTGGCAATAATAAAATTCACCTACCATTGGCGCTTACGTTTAAAAAATTTTCGACCCGACACGCTTGCTTACGAAAGGCAATATTTTCATTCACGCCCAAAAATTCACTGTGTTTTATAATTTTTCCTTATTGCTATAATTTTACACTGAATTTATTCTATTTATTTCTCTAAATCCATAATCCATATTAATAACAAAAAAATAAATAAAATTTATAAATCGAAATTTTTATTTAGAAAAAGAAAATGTCCATGATTTAATATTTCAATTATGTACGCCTTTCCTCTAATCGATTGACTATAGAAAATAACCTTTCACTAGAAGCCAATCTTGCAGGGACTGACAAAGTTTAGGATAATTTTTTTAAAAAAAGTAAATGAATTTTTCTGCCTCCAAAACTTCAAAATATTGTCATTGTTATTTGTCTTATGTGCGATGAATCTTTTAAGTTCATCCTCACAGCTTTCATCAGTAGATGTTGATGCTTCATCAGAATCATCTATAAATTCTCTAAATTTTTAATTTAGAATTTACGGTTTTTTATGAGTGTAGAATGAATTAAGAAAGTTATAAATGATAGTTGGCATTGACTTATGCATATCATCTAATTTTATATCATTTAACATTTTTAAGGTTGTTTTATATATCTTCCTTTTCACTTAAGGCTTTTGAAATTCGGATCTAAAATTAAGTCTACCTTATGTAGTGGTTGCATAATAAATCTTTCTTAGTCCTGTTTTTTAAGGTTTTAATTATTTTATTATTGTATCACCTTCAGATGGTTGAAATTCTAATTTTTGTTTCCATAGATAAACTTCATTTATTGTGGGATAAGAATCTGCGCTCAGATTATCCGAGCATTCTTTAAATATTGATAACAATTTATCTAACTCGCGTATGATGTTGATATCAATTGTGGCTAATCTATTTAATTCTTCCTTGCTAAGCGAGTACACTGTATTTCAGAATATAAATTTAAGAAACTTTGTATCATGTGTTATTACATTTTGTTTGAGGGTGTGGCTTAGTTTGCTATTAGCTATTTGAAATATTGTATTATTATTTATATTTAAGGCTATTTCAGGTAACCAATTATCAAAAATATAATGCATAATATTATTTAATATATGGCATATACATGCTAGCCTTTCGTCATCTTTGAATGCACTTATAAGATTTGCTTCGTTATCAGTCACAACTATACATTTATTTTAAAAAAAATTTTATTTTTGTGTATTCTTTTAAAATTGACTACACTTTTAATATTGACGCCTGTTTTTTTTCATCTATTTCCCTTGTGGCCAAAGTAAATGTTTTCAATTCAAAATCCTTAATGAAATAGGTCCTTTTATGGTTAAAAATTATAGTCATTCGTCCCAAAAATCAGTGGTTATGGACAAGTAATTATTATTGATTATGCTTTAAATCTTAATTTTAATTTCATCATATATTTTTGGAACTATAGTATTCATGAGAGTCTTTTATATTTTGTTGTCCATATGTAACACCAACATTTATTAACCCTTGGCCTAGCTTGTAAATCCTTCACTTTCTGTTGCATTTAAATGTTGAAGATCTTTACAAATAAAATATAACTGACTTTTCTGCAAAATTTTTAAGCAAAATTTAGCAAAAAAGTCTCGCGACCTAAACATAAAAAGAAAGTATAACTAGCGGCGTGATATCGGATGTTGTTTATAAAATGCGGAGGATTTTTTGTTTTCAAAAATTATTCTTTTTTGAAAAAGAACTAAATTAAATTAGAAAATATATATTATAATTATAAAATTGCAAATTTATATTTATAAAAAACAATTTTAAAAATTAAAATTCCGTGATTCACAGGAAATTTATGTTCACGCTCGTTTATGCCCGGTAAGAATTTTGGGGAGGCCCGTCACGCCTAATAATTTAAAATTTACTCAAACTCATGTCGTACGTAATTTCACGGCCCGCGCACACCTCTACATAGAATATTTAAAATGTATTTTTAACTCAGGGTTTTTAAATTTTTTTTTAGCCAATTCAAATATAGCAGAGACCTGCAGGAGTAGAATCTTAAGGCTATTCAGCATATATTTTTTCTCATAAAAATTATTTTTGGCCTGTCCGTGTTCTTATTTTTATAGGACTAATTCTAATTTTTAAAGTTCTGGTTATTTTTTAAAGATTTTAAAAGAGATTAAAAATATAAGATAATTTACATTTATTTTTTGTAAAAAATTGCCTGGCCCATATTTTTAAAATCATATTATTTTATTCAGGGAACCGTGCCGAGCTTGCAATTCTCTGAAATATAATTATATATTGTTAAAATAAAACCAAAAATTATAGAAACTAAACTATAAGTTAAATTTCAAAAGAAGATGACTTATTTAAAGTAAGGGATTTAGATCCGAAAGAAATTTTGCCGTTGGGATTCGGTACGGGTCAAAGTTTGAAAATGTTTAAAAAATTGGGTTCGGTCTAGCCAAGACTAGGCTGAACCAAGGTCCAAGTCGGGTTTAAAAAAAATTACTATTAAATTATTTAAAATTAGTTATCGAATAGAATGAGGTATCTATACTTTTATTTAGTAAAAATAAGAGTTAAAAAAAGCTTTAAGGCCGTGTCCTGGGTGGACTTATTACTAAACAGCCATCTGTTTATCCGACTATATAGATTCGACCAGAGACCTTCATGGGCCGGGTATGGGCCTAATAATATTTTCTAACGGGTCTGGGCCGGGCCTAGGTTTTAAAAATTTTTTTAAATCTGCTTGGGCTAGATTATTTAAAACAATTGCTAATTTAATGAAATATTGCCTTTTTTTCTTCTAATAATAATAAATTTCAGTATTGTAAACAAAATGATTGCCTAAATATATTTAAATATTGTTAATTTTTATGAAATAAAAAAAAAAATTTTATATATGGGCTTGGGAAATTTTTGTGAAACTTATTATTGGCTTAGGCCGGGCTTGGGAATTTTTTTTAACATTAAATATGGGCCGAGCTTGGGCCAAAAATTTATTTACTGAGGGCCTGGGCAGGGCTTGGTCAAAAATTAAGGCCCATGAAAGTCTCTATTCCACTAAATAGCCTAAAAAGTAAAACAAAAAAATACTATAAATAACTATGCCACTAAATACTTGAAATAAACCAAAATAGGGTGTCCTAGTTCAGCCTAGGCTAAACAGCGTTAAGCATCAAAATTAAAATGAACCAGAATACAGCCTCAATTGTTCTATTTTTATTAAATCTAAAAATTTTACTGGTAGAAAAAACAATTAGTTAGGTATTGCATTAGGAGAAGACAAAAAAAATAAAGTTTAAACTAACCTAATATATTTTTTTAAACTTTTGTTTTGAATAAATCAATCAAAAAATAATTAAAATTTTTGAACCCGGTCTGAACCCGAGAGAAAAAATTGGGTTAGGTCAGGATTCAGAGCCTAGATATTTTTAATCCGTATTCGGAATGGGTTAAGGAAAAAAAGTCAAGCCGGTCTGAAGGTTAGGGTTCGGAAATCATTTATTCAAGATTATCTAGAAGTTTACTAATTAAGTTTTATACAGTGAGCTGCCATTTATTTTTTAAAAGATAAAAGAAAAAAAAATATTGATTATAATATATTCGTAATCATAATCTTATAAAAAATA